GACTGTCTTCTGGTCAAGTATGCTGACGATGTGGTTGTTGGACACCCTCTCAAAAGTCAGACACACCTCCGGTCTCTAAAGGATGGCCTAAACCATGTCCTAGCGTGGTCGGAGGAAAATGGTCTCCTAATTAACAACCAAAAATCCGTTCAGTGTATTTTTCAACTGCGGCCCTCTCCTAACCCTGATTCCTCTGACATTCTTTCTAACAAAGTATACTCTTTCAGGTATCTCGGCGTTACTTTGTCCTCAAATCTTTCTTTTTCCCTCCATAGTGAGTCCCTATTTATTAAAGTTCGTAAACTTCTTTACTACATTCGTCGTTTACGTTCCTACCACACACCTCAACCCTTAGTCTGGCGATTCATTGATGCCTTCATTCTTCCTCTTATCCTATACTGTTCTCCTGAAGTTTTTCCTGCTTTGTTAAAAAAGGATCTTTTAATTTTGAAACGAATCCTCCGCATGCTCTCTTCTGCTGCTGGAGTTTCTTATATTTGTTTAGTTGACACAATCTTACAACGACACTTCAGTGCGGTCAAGCAATTTGCTGGTCGAATTCTAGATGACGTTGCCCATCCCCTACATTCCGATCTTATGTCTGCCAAGTCTTCCCGCCCGATGCGCCGCAATTTCCGTCTTATACCCTGTCGCACATCGGCTTATCAAGCTTCTGTATTGCCATTCCTAGCGCGCTATCTTACGTGCGAACAGACAGAAATACAGAAGCTAAGACTTGAACTTTCCCCATAATATTCGTTTCTTTGTGTTAAACTTTGACTCTTGAATAATCTATTAACTTATTTACTGTCCATAGTGAATGGAGCCAACTTTTTGCTGAAAATTTTGAACATATGATTTCAAAATAAAGCGCATTCCTCTCTCTCTCTCAACTATAAGATAGAAACAGAGTACTACTTCAGGGGGATTGAAAGAGTGACAACTACAAGACAGTCTCAAATCAATACATGCATACTAACTCTCTACCAAAAAACTTCCCAGTCACCAACACATGGCCGCCTTAGTAGCATGTACTTTTGTTCTCGGGTCTTGATTATTAACTACATTCAGTGCATTTTTGTAGAAATAGTTAACAGCGGTCTCATTTTTATAAACTGCCACATGGAATCGCGTCTTCTCAATTTACCGGATGGAAGCCATGCGCCTATCAAAATTAACATCCTTGCATTCGACTGACTGTTCGCATCCTGGTCACAACTTACCACAGTTACATTTCTCGGGTAAGGATAAAGTAAAAACCGGGGTATGTTTACTGTCGAGAACCACCTATTATAATTATTTAAGTTGGCGTTATTCGGTAGGGTTTTTGGTCGGAATCCAGTCACCGCCTTCGACGGCCCTAATCCCGGAAGAGTGAAATTCTTTGAATTAAACCGCCCTGAGAACGCGGTGCTGCAAAAGTGTTTATACAGGCTTACTGTTTTGTACTCACGCACATAATTCTTTAGTAAAAGGCGAAAGATCTATCCGCAGTTGAAGGGATACAAGAGGCACCCTCCTACGCAGATTCGCACCGCTCATATGGCTGTCACATCCGGGCACCCAACAGAGAATATTCCGACACGACCTACTCCTTTTCCTACGCAATTTACAGTGCAAAGCATTTACAATTACGTTATGTAAAAAAAGTTATTTACATAGTCAGTAAGTCATTTGTGGAACTTAGTTCCAGAGATTTATCTAGGATACTGCTGCTGGATGGATATTCGTCCGCAGTATAAGGCAGAAGAGTCCCCCATGCCTCCTTCAGGCCAGCAATTTCAGCTAAAAGCAAAGGCGGCACTATACTTAGTCCATGTGGGTCCATATGGTTCGGCTGGGCACGGGGCCTCCTTCGCGTAGTGCTCATTTTAGGCGACTCCAAAATGTTTCTGTGAAGGCCCACACGCATAACCACTCGTACCACCATTCGCGTAAGACACGCTCGACTGGTTAAACTTTTCTAACCCTGGTCATATATTTTATCTTTGCTCATTCACAGTGACGATCCTTTTCAGACCCCGTCGAACGAACCTCGATCTGAGAGTTGACATCCTTCCCCTCAATGCTGCTGCGTGTTTGGCCATCAGCGTCCGGATTAATCCCACACTTTCTCTGGCATGGCCGGTTTGTCGGCAAATACACCAGATCCCGTAAAAGATACCGAAGGTTTCCTACCGTGGCAGTGGATTTTTCGGTCTTATTACCTGCAGCCTGATAGGCGCCTCTGGTCTCTGTAACCCGAAATCCCAGAGGTGTTGGAAAACCCCGGCGGTTTCTGAGACGTACTTGTAACATACGGGATCGCTCACAGAAATTTGTGATTTCTGCAACTTGGTCTCTAGCCCAGTTCGCGCATTCGTCGGTTGACGAGGTTGCGCTGGTGGTCACTCCTTGCTACACTGCCTAAAATTTCTGCGTTCTGCCTGCCATCTGCACATTGCACCACTTTCAAAAGTAATCAGAAAACGATCTGGAGAAGATACGTAGCTTTCGATAAATTCTCGTCGGGCCAGTTCAGTTATATAGGAACGGGGTAGAAATAAAACGTGTCAGCGATAAGAGAAATCGATAAAAGTTCTCCTTAAACCATAGGCGAGGAGTGGCAATGTGG